GTTGATTCAACCAATCCATAAACACGGTATGTTCTTCCATTTGTTTATGTCTTCCTCTATCTCTTTTTTCAATGTCCTGTAATTTTCTGAGTACAGGTCTTTTAACTCCTTGGTTAAGTTTATTCTTAAGTATCTTGTTTTGGGGTAATGGTAAATGGGATTTTTTTTTTTCATTTCTCTTTTTGAGAGTTCATTATTGGTATATAAAAGGGTCATCGATTTCTGGATGTTAATGTTGTATCCTGCTACATTATCAAATTAATTTATTAAGTCTAATAATTTTTTGATGGAGTCTTTGGGGTGTTCTATGTACAATATCATGTCATCTGTGAATAATGACATTTTCACTTCTTTTTCAATTTGGATGCCTTTTATTTATTCTTCTTTTCTGATCGCTATGGCTAGCACTTCTAGTACTATGTCAAACAGGAGTGGTAAAAATGGGCATCTCTGTCTTGTTCCTGTTCTTCAGGGAAATGGTTTCAATTTTGCCCATTGAATATGATGTTGGCTGTACATTTGTTATATAAAGCTTGTATTACATTGAGGTATGATCCCTCTCTTCACACTTTGCTAACAGTTTTTATCAGGAATGGGTGTTGGATTTTGTCAAATGCTTTTTCTACATCAATTGATATGATTGTGTGATTTTTGTGTATTAATTTGTTTATGTGATGTATAACATTTATTGATTTGCAGATATTGCACCAGCCTTGTATTCCCGGAATAAATCCCACTTGATGTATGATCTTTCTAATGTAATGATGGATCTAATTTGCTAGACTTTGGTTGATGATTTTAGCATCCTATATTCATCAGAAATATTGGCCTTTAATTCTTTTTCTTTGTAGTGTCTTTATCATCTGGTTTTCGGATTATGGTAATGCTGGCTTCATAGAAAGAGGTTGTACATAAAAATAAAAAGCTTCTGCACAGCAAAAGAAACCATCAACAAAACAACAAGAAAATCCACTGCATGGGAGAATATATTTGCCAATATTGTATCTGACAAGGGTATAATCTTCAAAATTTATAGGGAACTCTTACAACTTAACAAAAGGAAGATAAGCAATCCAATCAAAAAAATATGCTAAGGACCTAAATGACACTTTTGAAAGAGAACATGCAGAAGGCCAAGAAACATATGAAAAGATGCTCAAAGTCACTAATCATCAGAGAGACCCAAATTAAAATAACAATGAGGTACCATCTCAAACCTGTCAGAATGGCTATCATCAACAAATCAACAAACAAGTGCTGGAGAGGATATGGATAAAAAGGAACCCTCCTGCACTGCTGATGGGAATGCAGTCTGGTGCAGCCACTGTGGAAAACAGTATGGAGTTTCCTCAAAAAAATTAAAATGGAACTACCATTTGACCCACTAATCGTACTTCTAGACATATATCCCAAGGTATGAGAAACACCAATCAGAAAGATATATGTATGAAACCCTATGTTTATAGCAGCACAATTTACAATAGCTAAGATTTGGAAACAGCCTAAGTGCCCATCAACAGATGAGTGGATTAAAGCTGTGGTACATTTATACAATGGAATACTACGCTGCTGTAAAAAAGAAGTAACCCTTACCATTTGCACAGCATGGATGGACCTGGAGAGCATTATGCTAGGTGAAATAAGCCAGTTGGAGAAAGACACATATCACATGATCTCACTCATTTTTTCAAATATAATGAACAACATAAACTAATAAATAAAAATAGATCCCAAGACATAGAAGCATTGAGCAGAGGGAAGGCAGGGGAAAAGGGGGAGGAAGAGATCAACCAAAGGACTTGAATGCATGTATATGAGCATAACCTTTGGACACAGACAGTAGGAGGGTGAGAATATGGGCTGGAGGTTGGGAACGACTGGGGAGAGGTCATTGGGCAAAAAAGGAGACATACACAATACTTTAAACAATAAAGAAAAGAAAAGGAGTTTAGAATTGAGACAACAATGAAACACTATTAACAGCAACAAGGGAAATATCACTAGTTTGCTTAAGACTAGCTATTTTTTACTTTATATTGTCAAAAGTAAATTTGCAATTCTAAAGAATGCTGTTTCAGAGATTGTTTTTATAAGAATCAACTTAGTTTATTTCCATTTAAGCACTTTTTTTGGTTCAAAAACATACCTTCTAAGTTACCAAAAAATGTACTGAAAGAAAATATGGCTCAAATTCTTAAATTAAGTACAAAAATATATTCTAAAATAGCTAATAAATATTGTTATTTATTTTATAGTCACACATAGTATATTGTTTTTTTGTAAAACAAATGGGCTCCCTCAAGATAAATGCTGCAAAAATAATTCCTGTTCAAGCAAGAACAAAATTGACAGTAAGGATTAAACTCACATTATACTAGAAAGGCAAAGGATTTCAACTGAGCCTCAAGCAACTAGAAGTTCTAGTTAGAAATGTGTCAGTAAGATTAAATAATTCAGACTTTCCTCTGGGTAATGTGGACAAGACTGAATTTTCAAACATATTTTATTGTGAAAGAATGGTAGTTAATATCAGAAAGTAACTTTTATTCAACATACATTAATAAGGCCTTATTATGTGCCAAGAAAAGCTTTAGGTTAGTTTAATAGCAGTACACTGAACTAAAAACTCTTTTTATTGTGAAGTTTATATTCTGGGTAAGTCGACTTCTAAGCCAAAATATAAAATTTCCAATGCAATGCAACTTCATATACTATCTTTCAAATATATATATATATATTTAATATTTAAAATATTATTTTCTAGGCCTTGGTAAAAATGTAACTAATTTTTAATTATAAAACCAG